CTAAGACAAGGGGTTAGTATGCACAATATGTAAGGAACTGAACCCAACTGCGGGGTCGGGGGGAAGATTTTTGATTTAAAAATGAGCAAATGATGTGAAAAGATCTGTCTCAAAAGAAGGCACACAAATACTTACCAAGTACATGAAATAATGCTAAGTAGCTCTAATCATCAGGGAAATGCAAATCAAAACTATAGTGAGATATTGTCTCACCACAGTGAAAAATGGCTACCATCAAAATCACAAAAAATAACAGATGCTGGAAAGGACAGGGAGAAAGGGGACCGTGCGACACCACTGGTGGAGAAGTAATTAGCGCATGACTTACGGAACCTAAACAACACAAAACTGGACCTGGGACCACCCCATGAGGAAGCAGCAGCGTCACACAACCGGGCAGATGTCGACCAGAAAGGAACCCAGGCTGCCGATGCCGGTCCTCCCTTGTCCACTGAGCAGCGTCTACAGCTGCTACAGCACAGAACCAGCCCAGGTGCCCATCTGCGGGCAAACAAGTGCAGACAGCCTTGTGCACGTGTACAACAGAATATCATTTATCTCAAAACACAGAACACACGGAGAAATCCCCAAACACAGAAACACCCCTTGCAGCAGCGTGGAGAGAACTGGAGGGTCCTGAGCTAAGTGCAACAGGCCAAGCACAGGAGGACAAATACTGTATGTTCTCACACACATGTGAAAGCTTGAAACGCTAATGTCGTAGACGTCGAGAGTGCGACAGGATTCGCGGAGGCTGGAAAGCGGGGGAGGTAGGAGATGAGGGGAGAGCATGGTTATGCAGTGCAGTGCAGGGGAGGAGCCACGTCTAATGGCCTACAGCACAGCAGGGTAATGAGGGCTCACAACAGTTCATTACATAGCTCAAAATAGCTGAGTGTTCCCAGCACAAAGGGCTAATACACACTGGAGGTGATGGATGTGTTAATTTTCCTGATTGGGTCTTATATGCAGTTTACATGCATTAAAATATCACACTGTACCCCATGAATACATGCAGTTCTTATTGCCTTTAAATGTACTAAGAAAAAAAAAAAAAACATTGCACTCAGCCCGCGGCTCCATATCATCTTGGGGCCAGGTCACGGTCACAGCACCCAGTTCATGGGCACAACACCCAGGTGACGGTCACAGCACCCAGTTCACGGGCACAGCACCCAGATGACGGTCACAGCACCCAGTTCACGGGCACAGCACCCAGGTGACGGTCACAGCTCCCAGGTCACGGGCACAGCTCCCAGGTTACAGGCACAGCACCCAGGTCATGGGCACAGCACCCAGGTGATGGTCACAGCACCTAGGTCACAGTCACAGCACCCAGGGCACGCTCACAGCACCCAAGCCATGGTCACAGCACCCAGGGCACGCTCACAGCACCCATGCCACAGTACCAGCACCCATGTGATGGTCACAGCGCCCAGGTCATGGTCACAGCACCCATGCCCAGGTTACATCACAGCACCCAGGTCACGGTCACAGCACCCAAGTCACAATCACAGCACCCATGCCCAGGTCACAGTTACAGCACCCAGGTCACAGGCACAGCACCAATGTCATGGTAAAAGCACCCATGTGACAGTCACAGCACTCAGGTCACGGTCACAGCACCCAGGTCAGGGTCACAGCACCCATGCCCAGGTCACAGTCACAGCACCCAGGCCAGGGTCACAGCACCCAGGTCAGGGTCACAGCACCCAGGCCACAGGCACAGCACCAATGTCATGGTAAAAGCACCCATGTGACAGTCACAGCACTCAGGTCACAGTCACAGCACCCAGGTCAGGGTCACAGCACCCAGGCCACAGGCACAGCACTCAGGTTACAGTCACAGCACCCAGGTCACAATCACAGCACCCATGTGACAGTCACAGCACCCAGGTCCGGGTCACAGCACCCAGGTCAGGGTCACAGCACCCAGGTCATGGGCACAGCACCCAGGTCCGGGTCACAGCACCCAGGTCATGGTCACAGCACCCAGGCCACAGGCACAGCACCCAGGCCACAGGCACAGCACCCAGGCCGCAGGCACAGCGGGGCTGTTCTGGACCTGCTCTTCTTCCTCGACAGCTTGCTGTGACCTCCTGCCTTGGTTCATGGCAAGACGCTGGCTATGACCTCAGACTCGAGCACAGATGCTCAACACGCTCCCACGAATGAAGTGCGACAGCAAGTCCACGAACATGTGTTCACATGAATGAAGCATGACAGCAAGTCCACGAACATGTGTTCACATGAATGAAGCATGACAGCAAGTCCACGAACACGTGTTCACATGAATGAAGTGCGACAGCAAGTCCACGAACACGTGTTCACATGAATGAAGCATGACAGCAAGTCCACGAACACGCGCTCCCACGAATGAAGTGCGGTGGCGAGTCCACGAGCAGAGGTGTGGTGCAGAGGACACAGAGGCAGGTGCACTGCCGCATTCCTGGGAGTTCTGACGCAGACTCCTCACGCCTCACCTGTCCTCCCCCGCACCCTGACACCTGTACTGAAGTGAAACATCCGTTTCTAGCAACGTAAGAATGCTTATTGATGCTCAGCACAATTTCTCCCCAGCCTTAATCTCTGGGGCTCAGCCCAAGTTCCTGCCGTGACGGCCTCTTACAGCCAATCCCAGTGATCTCCTGGCTCTGCCACTTCCTGGGCTCCTGCCCCCTTTCTGTGGCCCGCTACACTGAGTTGTATCTGTTTGATGTCCAGCTGCGCTCACAGGCGTGATGCGTCTTCGGGAAGGTTTTTACTTCACAAACCACCCAGCCCTTCCCAGACACGTGCTGTGGGATACCTGGGACATTTTTATCTGTGACAGAAATCCAGCTCTGAGGGACACAGTGGAAGACAGATGTGACGGCCAGCTCTTGGCTCCTGCCACTGTGCCTGGGGAGTAAGCCATGGCAGCGTGCACACTGGAGACAAAACCTCTTTCCTACAGTGGTGCAATGGCACAGCACGCAGGGCACTGGGCTCTAGGGCTGACCCCACAGCTCCCACCTGTGTGGCTTCACCACTGACAGCAAGATGCCACACGGGGTCCTCACAGTACCTCGTGCATTACTGGGCGGAGCCCGTGAGCCCTCCTCCACAGGAGCCGTGCCAGGGTCCTGCCTCAGAGGACGTCACACTCGTCCCTGTCCTCAGGCTGGCCGAGGGCTCAGCCCAAGCTGGGTGGGAATGCCGAGATGCTGCCCCCGGTGGAGCTGACAGGGACAGGTGGCCCAGGCTGTGCCTTTGGCAATGGCCCTCTCACCCTGGTGCAGCAGCTGTACATTTGGAAAATATTCAAGAAACAGCTTTGCTGAACGCAGACTCACTCGGTAGATTTTAGAAGTGACCCACCCTGTAGTCCCATTCCTCTATGAGGGAGTGCCCCATTTTCGTGCATCTTCCCATCGCCTTTGAAGCCATCCATGCCGGTGCCGCAGACCTGCGGCCCCGCTACTGCACCGCGCATTCATAACCAGCCCTTCCGCCCCTGGGAGGCAGCCTTTGGGCCGCGAGGCTCGCCTGGCATCCCTGAGTTGTGCCTTAAGAGGCTGGCAAGTGATTTTAGAATCCTCGCCTTCCATGCAGCACGTGCACAAATGGAGGGTGTGTGGCTATTCCAACGAGCACTGACGCCTGGAGTTTTCTGGACGCTTCCTTTGTGTTGGTAGGGAGCACAGGCACTGTGATGTGCACCTGTGGCTTTGTCTCCCACTTCTGGGAAAGTCGAAGCAAGGCAATGTTACAGACGGCACTGAAATGCATCTCACAGTGCACCAGCTCCTCTAACGTGGCGCCTGGAGCTCCTACGCTCCCTCCCCCAACCTTGCTTCTCGGCCCTTCCTCATCCACCTTCATTCTCTCTGGTGTGAGCACTGGTGAGCTGCAGAAATCCAGCAGGTGAGGCACAGGTTCCAGAGGAACCTGCCTTCTATGACAGCACCTTCATTTCAAGCTGAAATTAAGATCACAAACCAAAATGTGTCAAAAACAATTCAAGATAGGCCTATTTCTCTTCATCCATATTCTGAAGATTCGGGGTCTTTTTTTCATAGTTGTTCACAGTGATTTCTGACGCTTGAAGGGTTTCTCAGGAAGAAATCACCCAGGGTCCCTAATAATAGTAAGAGCAGTTTGGAGAGCACACGTGAAGTGCAACAGTGAGTTTGGACTTGGGATCACTGTCACGGTGACCTCCCGATGCCTGGGCACACATCGCTGATTCTCCTTGCACCTCAAGACTGGACAGCCCAACACCTGCTGTGTCTGTCAAGTGGTGTTCTCAGACCTCCGGGCTCACCAAAATGGCGTCTCCAGGCGAGCCTTGCGCTGGTCACTGTGATGCAGGCACCTCCCCCGTTCTGCCTCTGTCCTCTACAGCTCACGCATGGTGGCCATTCTTACTCTTCCTTGATTTTGTACCTTCCAATGAACACACTATTCACGAGGCTACAGACCTTGGAAACGAGAGTGGGGCCTGGCAGGTAGCAGGGACCCGCTGTATGTGGAGAATGAAAGAGTATTTCCTCACTATTACTATGAACAATCAGCATTACCAGTAGGGAGCTGAGCCTGCAGTACAGAGCTACGAACTCTGGACGTGTTCACACACCTGCCTGCAAACTGCGTCCAGATGTCCGGAGGTGTGATCAGCACACCACACACTGCTGCGACTCGTGTGCGTGGACGTGTGTATACAGCCACACTCTCCTCGATCACAATCACACACGTGGCAGCCACACCCCGAACTGCCCCTTCCACTGTCACCTCCTTCCCCTCCCTCACCAGGCAAACGCTGCTGGTTCCTGTCACCGAAGTTCACTTTTCCTTTCTGAAATATCACGCAGAGAGCCACAGGGTATATGCTTGTCTTTAGCAGGATTTTCTACACTCAACGTGCTTATTTCAGTCCACTCAAGTTACTGCATAGATGGTTCATTCATGCTTGCCGCTAAGGCACATCCTCATGTCTGAAGAAACCACAATTCTCTTACCCAGGCTCCGTGGATGGACAGAGGGGCTCCTGTGAGGCTGCTGTGACATGCATCTGCAGGTCTCTGTATGGACATGTGCTTCATTCTGCGGGGCAAGAAGTAGCAGAATGTCTGTGTCATTTGGCATAAATATCATTCAAGGTCTGAGTCCCTGTCAAGTCACTTTCCAAACAGTGAGACCCGTTTAAATGCCCAACAGCACTGTCCGAGACTCCCAATTCTTCCCCGTCTTCGTCAGCACTTGCTGTGGTCTGCTTAGGTGGCAAAACGCAGGTTTCCGCGGTTTCAGCTGTATCTGCCTCATGACAAGTGACGCTGGGAAAGGTTTAATGTACTGTTTGTCATCTGCATCTCTTCTTAGTGTAGTTTCTACTGTTTCTCTTTCTATTCTCTGCTGATAGAAGTCCTTGATGTGCTACACTTACGAGTCTGTTTGCTAGCAGACCACAGCTTGTCTTTTCATTTTTCTAGCAGTATGTTTACCAAAAAGGTTTTAACAACATAATGAAGGGGCCTGTGCTGTGGCGCAGCGGGTTAAGCCCCTGGCCTGAAGAGCTGCACTGGCATCCCATATGGACGCTGGTTCTAGTCCCAGCTGCTCCTCTTCTGATCCAGCTCTCTGCTATGGCCTAGGAAGGCATCCCATATGGACGCTGGTTCTAGTCCCAGCTGCTCCTCTTCTGATCCAGCTCTCTGCTATGGCCTGGGAAGGCAGTGGAAGATGCCCAAGTCCTTGGACCCTGCACCCACGTGGGAGACCCAGAGGAAGCTCCTGGCTTTGGATCCGCACAGCTCCAGTCACTGCAGCCATCTGGGGAGTGAAACAGCAGATGAAAGACCTCTCTCTCTGTCTCAAGCTCTCTCTGCAAGTCTTTTTTTTTCTTTTTCTTTTTGGACAGGCAGATTTAGACAGTGAGAGAGAGAGAGAGAGAGAGAGACAGAGAGAGACAGAGAGAAAGGTCTTCCTTTTCCATTGGTTCACCCCCAAATGGCCGCTACAGCCAGCGTGCCGCAGCCAGCGCACTGCGCCGATCTGAAGCCAGGAGCCAGGTGCTTCCTCCTGGTCTCCCATGCGGCCACAGCAGAGAGCTTTACTGGAAGAGGAGCAACCGGGACAGAATCCAGCACCCCAAATGTGACTAGAACCTGGGGTGCTGGCACCACAGGCAGAGGATTAGCCAAGTGAGCCGTGATGCCGGCCTACTCTTTCAAATAAATTAACTTAATCTTAAAAAGAAAAACATAATGAAGTCAAACACATTACTGTCTTCACTTTGTTCTGCTGGTATCATGTTTAAGAGGTCTTTGCCAAACCCAATCAATACGAAATTTCTCTGACATTTCTTCTACTCACGCTCTGTGAGCTGGCACACACAGAGCTGACGCCTCCGTCCTGTTCTGGGTGGTGTGGTTTTACTCTGCACACGACGTGGACTGAGTTCTGGGCATGGCTGAGTGCCTGGTGGCAAACAGCTACCCGGTTGTTCAGCACTTAGCTGAGACGATGATCACTGCCCCACTGACGTCCCTTAGTGTGGTGATCAGAATCAAGCAGCCCATGGGCACGGCTCTGTGGCTTCCTGAACCCATTCTGTTTCTTTACCTGCTCATCATTTTACTGCACCACTGCCCAGCTCTCTGTCATTTTAATGAGCCTTAAAATCCACTCCTCTAAGGTTTTCAACTCTGTTTTGTTTCTCAAGTTTTGTCAGCCTTTCCAATTCCATGTAAAGTTTAGAATACTTTTATAATTTTTACAACCAATCTAGGAGATTCCTTTAAAAGGCTATAAACAGATTTATGATGGGACCCAGCTAACCCACTTCTGGGACAACATCCAAAGGACGTGAAGTCAGCCTATGAGAGACAGCTGCACTGCCATGTTTCTTGGAGCCCAGTTCACAACAGCCGAAACATGCAATCACCTAGATGTCCATAAACTGATGGCTAGATAAAGGAAAACGTGATTATAGTCATTTTCATTGTTATGACTGAGCTATATAGATGTGTATATATATGCATATTTATACATTTCCTGTATATATACAAATGTATTAGTCATAAAAACGGCATCCTGACATCTACAACCAAACAAATGAAACTGCGTATCATTATGCTAAGTGAAATAATCCAGATACAGCAAGACAAAGTCCACGTTATTTTCTCGTACGTGGAAGTTAATACACAGAATATAAAAGTGGGCAGATGTCCTACTAAGTGGTATACAGGTAGTCATAATGTTGACTTCTCTGAATTACACCCTCTACACAATAAACTAACTTTCTGTCCTCACCTTAGGACCCTCATCATGAATTCCACGTTATGTGATATTAACAGCTCAACTTTGAGAACATACAGTATGAGAACATACAGGTATATAGCATTTACCTATGGTGCAAATATAGCAAAATGTTGAAACTGTGAAACTTAAAAATGAATAAATAAATACTTTTAAAAATCCAGTTGGGGATTCAGAAGAGTTTCATCAACGCCAAGGCAGATCTAGGAGACCGGAAATTCTGGCCATGTGCGTTCCTCCGATCATGCACATCCGTGCAGACCTCATCTGTGTTCTCTAACAGTGGCTTGAGCGCTCACTGTCCAGATCCGTCCATGCTGTCAAATCATTCATCATTCCATGTTTCTGATGCTATTAAATGATATTCCCTCATTAAACAGAATCAGCACTGGCGAGGCCCAAGCGTTCGTCTTGGTGATCTTACTCCGTTTTCTTCTCTAAGCTCTGACCACACTGTCACCTTCATCTGCTGCTGAGGCTATACTTTGCTCTGCCTACTGCAGCTGTGTGAGGTGGACAGTGGGGTCATCCGTGTGAAACTGACTTTACTACTTAACATAGGAGTTTAGAACACTGCTTTATTTGTATTCCACTAATTTTGAAAGGCAGCTTTTTCCTTTTCATTCAAATCACAAATTCTAACTTCCTTTGGGTTTGCTTGATTCCTATTTATGGAAATTAGTTCCTCAGTTTACAGATATTTGAAGGTATTGGCTTATCTTTTAACTCAATACTGTTTTAAGACCGCTGTGTGTGACAGGATAAAATAAAACACATTGATTCTTGTCCCTCAGGGAGGATACTGTCTATCTTAATAAATGGTCTGTGCAAACTTGAGACCACAGGCAAAGCAGTTCACTGTATGTTCCCACGGTAGCAAGTATTAAGGTCACAGCACTGAGGACAGTACTCCCAGGGCACTGAGTCCACAGTCACAGCACTCACTGTGCACAGTACTCCCAGTGCACTGAGTCCCAGTCACAGCACTCACTGTACACAGTACTCCCAGAACACTGAGTCTCACAGTCACAGCACTCACTGTGCACAGTGCTCCCAGGGCACTGAGTCCCACATAGTACTCACTGTACACAGTACTCCCAGGACACTGAGTCTCACAGTCACAGCACTCACTGTGCACAGTACTCCCAGGGCACTGAGTCCCATAGTCACAGCACTCACTGTGCACAGTGCTCCCAGGGCACTGAGTCCCATAGTCACAGCACTCACTGTACACAGTGCTCCCAGTGCACTTAGTCCCACAGTCACAGCACTCACTGTGCGCCATTCTCCGAGTGCACTGAGTCCACAGTCACAGCACTCACTGTGCACAGTATTCCCAGGGCACTGAGTCCCATAGTCACAGCACTCACTGTACACAGTACTCCCAGTGCACTGAGTCCTACAGTCACAGCACTCACTGTACACAGTACTCCCAGTGCACTGAGTCCCACAGTCATAGTATTCACTGTACACAGTACTCCCAGGACACTGAGTCCCATAGTCACAGCACTCACTGTGCACAGTGCTCCCAGGGCACTGAGTCCCACAGTCACAGCACTCACTGTGCACAGTACTCCCAATGCACTGAGTCCTACCATCACAGCACTCCCTGTACACAGAACCCCCAGTGCACTGAGTTCACGTCACAGCACTCACTATGCATAGTGTTCCCAGTGTAGTGATTAGTACGGCCACAGCAGTCACTGTACACAGTACCCCAGTGCACTGAGTCCTACAGTCCCAGCACTCACTGAGGACAGCGCACCCAGTGCACTGAGTCCCACAGTCACAGCACTCCCTGTACACAGTATTCCCAGTACACTGAGTCCACAGTCACAGCACTCACTGTACACAGTACTCCTAGTACAGAGTCCGCAGTCACAGCACTCACTGTACACAGTGCTCCCAGGGTCCTGAGTCCTACAGTCACAGCACTCACTGTACACAGTGCTTCCAGTGCACTGACTCCTACAGTCCCAGGTGTCTGTGTTTCCAGTGCAGTAAGCACTGCTGTCACAGAGCCTCACTGCAGAGATTCTTTCCAGTGAGTAGATGATGTGGGAACCACAGCAGAACCTGGTGGACTCCCTGAGTGCTGGGAATGGGGTCACAAACAGCAGGGGTTCAAGTAAGAGCTTGAACCTTTGGCAAAAGCATCAACACTGATGTGTACACACACACACACACACATACATGTACACACATACACACACACATTTTATAATGAAACAAAGAAGAATGCAAAATGATACTGAATAAACAGAATGTCATGGACGTGCTTCTCTTTAATGATGTTAAGTACAAATAAACCACAAAAATTAAAAAAAAAAACTCAAGCTCAAATACATAAGACTGCTACATCAATCAAATTTCTGGGAGTCAGTGATTAAGTGATGATCCTAGCACTCTGATGAAAAAAAGAAAAAGATATATCTCCTATAAGGAAAAGAGATGCAAGTGGTTGTAGGGCCCTGTAAGAAACAAAACCAGGAGACAGGGCAACCACATTTGCAAGGTACAGAGAAACAGTGTGTTGTCCAAGAATGCTGTGCAGAGCAGAAATATGTGTCAATAATGAAAACCAAACGTAGCTTCTGTAAGCACCCTGCAGGAGCAGTCATCATGAGCAGTCCTACACCTAAGTAAAGTCTACAGAAAATCCTACAGGCAGAGATGTGATGTCATACAGAATTCTGGATCTCACAGAGGCATGAAAAAATGCAAAAAGGAAATTTTTACTGTAATGCAGACATATTTCCCCTCTTTGAAAATTCTCTTAAAATATGACTCTTTTTTTCAAGGAAGAATACTATCAATGTATATTATAGTTTCTAACGTGTACTCACAGAAGTAAAATATGAAAACAAGAATACAAATGATGGGAAAGGAAATGTACCATTGTACTCTTGAAAAATAAGCTTGAAGTGGCACAATATTCTGTATAGACATATTAATGCTGTATCTTACAAACTCCAAAGCAACTGAAAATGCATCATTAACATACCAAAAGAAATAAAACAGAATCATAAAAACTATAATTGATTGTGAAGGCAATAAAAGAGGGAGAGTGGATTAATCATACATCACAAACAGAAAATAAATGTCAAGATACTGAAACCAATCCAAACCAATATTCCCAGTAAATGTAAATGGTCAAAATACTTCAATTAAAAAGACAGCGACTGTCCCAATATTTCTTGAATCAAGATCCAACCACAGATCTCCCTCAACTTATGATGTAGTTGTGCCCCAAATAAACCTATGGTAGGTGGAAATTTTTCTAAGCCAAAGATAATTTTGTAAGCCAAAATACTGCAAGTCGAAAATCAATACAGCTCCACAGTGACATCCTAGCTTGGCGACCCTGTCCTTCCTGCCTGGTGACTGCAGCGTGGCTCATGACTACTGCTTGGCACTGTGAATGAGAACCTGGCCTCCAAAGCTAGTCCAAGTGTTAACACAGTTTCTACTGACAACATACCCCTTTCACACCACTGCAAAGTTTAAAAAGTAAAAGTCAGATCATTCTGTGTTGGGAGCCATCTGAATACACTGCCTGTAGCTTACTTAGTTAACATATTTCTTCTATACATTCAAGTATCCAAACATAAGTACCAACTGTACAACAATAAAACATAAAGAATCCTGCCCAACAGGTTGGGAATTTGCAAGAGGTTCTATAAAACTAATGAACTGAAGAGGAAATAGCGTTTCTGCAAAATTGTGCAACATCTGTCTGAAACAGCAGCAGGAAACTGAGAAAGATTCAGAGCCTCAGTTTCCCTGCACACTCAGCCTCCCTCCCGTGGATTTTCCCTGCAGCCCTCCCTGCACCGTTCTCAGCACTCTGCTGCTTTTGCCTGGAGCTCCCTTTCCTACTCCAGTCACGCCCTGCCACCGGGGTCCGGCCCAGAAGGCATCTCCTTTCAAAGCCCCTTCTGAGTTCAGGTGTTTGCCTTCTATTTACATGTTCATAATATTACATGGCACCTATCTGAACAAAACTTCCTCCTAACCCTTGATTCAAATCCTGAGTAAGGCATTACTTTTTCCAGCTATGAAAGACACCTGAGATGAGAAGTTAGATGAATTACCCAAAATGTCATGTAACACACGACAGAACCAGGACTTGAACTGCAGACAGCAATGACCCAGGTGAACCTGGGTATGCAGCATGCATGCAGCCACGCACTCTTTCTCACTGAAGTGCTCACACAATAACTGAACTGATGAGAATCTCTGCTAAGCTCTGACAACACAGACCCTGCAAGGAACCAACGTCCGCTCCAATCTCCTTTGAAGTGGATTAAATGAGCTAACGTGTGTGAATATATACCAACACTTTTACACAATCTGAAGGCTTTTGTTAGTAAGCCCGATTCACTGCCTAATTCTATCATTTCTCCTACATCCGGGAAGGAAACAAGCAATTGTAACGATGGGATTCCAAGTGGCTGGATTGGCCAGTGGCACTGCAAGGACTCGCTGAGGAGACACCTTAGTGTCCCCTGACAAATGAGACAGCTCCGCTCCTGCCTTGCACAGAGTGACAAATCAGGGTAGCTCATCCACGTTCTGTCTCCTCAGGAGCGATGCTGCTGCGGTACAGGACTTCTCTCTCATCCTGGTTTCCATCATCTAACTGAGACGACAGCCGTGACAGTGGTGTTTCCTGTTGCCATCGGGATAGGGTAGCTTAGGTGTGGAAGCAGGACCTGCCAGGAGCCTCGGTCAGAAAGCTGGAGAGGAAAAGGAGGAGCAGACAGCACAGAACCAAGAGATCCACACTGGGCACAGCATCGGTCCTCTCCAAAGACGCTGGTGAGCAGGTCGGGCCCCATTTCCCAACTGGACAAAATGTGGGTCTGTGGCTCCTCCAGGGGACAAAGACAGCAAAAGAGCTGTGTGTTGACTACAACGCCCAGCAACCACGCTGTGATGGACAGGGGGTTGGGTTGGATGAAGACAGGATTCTGCTCAACACTTAGGAAGACAAGGGAGGCCGTCTCTGACAGGCAGCTTCCCGGCAGGTGCACTGCAGGCTGTGTGTTAAGAGCCTCATGTCTTGATAGTTTGAAGTTCCTCTTTTTCCACTCTGGGTCCTAAATGGGTCTAATGGAGCAGAGACTGATGGCCATATGATTTATTTATGCTTCATGGCTAAATATAATGTCAAGCCTAGGCAAAATTCTAAGTGAAGACAGTCTCCTGCTATTCTCTTTCAAACCAGATGACAGCAATAAAGAAAAATTAAAAAAAGAAAACCATGAAACATAGATGAGATTTTCATAAACTAGAAAATCGAAATCATGTTGAATCACTGTGAGGAAAAGGCTAAAATCATTCAGATGTGAAACCACACAAGTGAAGACACGACTACGTGTGTAAATTCTCAGAGCAATGACTCGGAGTTGTCCCAGCCGTGTCTTTCACCTCCTGCACAGGAAGAGAAAGCTCTTTCTTAGAACATAAAGGTGCTGTACACCCCCTTGCTGACGGCTCCACTTTCCTTGGTTTGGTTACCTGCAGCCAACCATAGCCTGGACATATCCGATGGAACACTCCAAAAATCTAAGAAGTTCCTAACGCTAAACCAAATGCCTCGTGAGCAGCGTCATGAAACCTTGTGCCGCACCACTCTGGCTGCCTGCTGTGTGTGACTTCCCTCCGTGGGGAGCACCCACCCCTCTGTGGACATCACCTGCCCAGCAGTCAGTCAGCAGTCCTTGGCTATCACAGTGCTCGTGTTCAAACAACCCTTGGTTAACTCCGTGACAGCCCGAGGAGCAGATTCTCACTACAGCACATTGTCACATGGGCCTGTTTTACTGTAAGTCATTGCAGTCGTCTTCCTATGCCTGAGTAACAGATTACGACACCATGGGCATGGGTCTATCGGGAGCAGCAGAGGACGCACAGAGCTTGGCACTGCCTGTAGTTTCAGGCATCCAATGGGGACGCATCCTGCAGAGAGGAGGAGACACTGTGCGGGAACTGCCAGTCCCTGCCTGAGCTCAACCCTCCCCAAAGCCAGAGCCCCATGGCAGGACTAGGAAGGCCATGTGGTGAGGTGATGGCTAAGAGTGTGTGGGTACCACCGAGAAGGGCCTTTGACAAAGCAGGTCTCACTCGAGAGAAGGCCACAGCATCTACACATCAGGGAGCAGATTGTGGGGCTCTGATCTGAGACTGCGGAGCAAGTCCACAATGCTGGATGCCGCACTGCACCGTCCCGCCTCTCCCTGCACCACGACACCACACGCTCTAGACGCCAGGCGAGCTGCTTCTGCACAAGAAACAGGAGGCCTGGAGACAGCAGGGAGGGCAGCCATCACACCATAAAAGCATCCGGCAAAGAGCACTGTAATGCAAGATATTACAAAACGACATGTGAAAGATCTAAAAGCTATCAAAAATTAGAATTCTAATTTTCCAAGTAGTCCAAATAAGATAGGAAAAAACAAAGATGTAGAAAAAAAAGCTGAGAGTGCTTAGTGAAGAAATGAAAGAGATAAACAATAACACTTTGAGAGCAAAAGTTACTTTGAAAGAAACAATGCAGGGGGCAGTCACTCTGTAAGACACAGCAGGGCAAATGCAGTGAATGTGAACGTCAGGAAAATGGAGGCAAATCAAATCAAATCACGCTCGAGAAGTCAGGGAGAACAGAAAAGACGTAAGAGACTCAGCACCAAGAGTGGAGTAAGCCAGCAGGGGTAATCAAGGAAAACACTCAGCTACCCGCGTGGACGAGACACGGATGGCGCAAAGCCCACCCCTGCCCCAGGCGGCGGGGTGAGGGAGGGCAGGGCATGCAGAGGACAGGCACTGAGTCCACACCACCCCAGGGGCACTCTGAGAAGTGCGTCACAGGGACGTCTGCCTGTCCCTGTCTCTGTCTCAATCTGTTTCTCTTCATCTCTGTCACTGTCTGTTTCTCCCCGTCTCATTTTCTGTCTCTCAGATTCTCTCTCTCCGTCTCTTGTTGCCTGTGTCTCTGTCTCTTTGTCTCCTCCCACCGTGGGAGAGTCACTGTCTAGACGTGGCCGTCTGCCTTGGCAGGGAGTGGGGTGGGGCTGGAGAGCTGTCTGTGGAAGACAAGCCTCTGTCCCTGGTGCTGAAGCCTGGAGAGGGGAGGGGCACAGGCAGATGGCTCAGACCAGGGGCGCTGAGGATGGATGGAGCCCATCGTCTCTCAATACCCGCAAGCCTCCAGCTCTGGCGAAGTGGGGGTGCCCTGCAGGAGGTACTGGTGTCCTTCAGCTCATAGCTGAGCACACACACCCAGGGTTCAGAGAAGTCAAAGGAGGTCCCTGCCAGGAAGTCAAGGAACTGACAGCCAGCTTCTGACCCACCCCACAGCATTAGGATGGAAGACCAGGAAGGAGTCCTGACGCCTGCACCAGCCATGGCTGCTGCTTTGGCTTCCACCCCGACACCTGCTGCGGATGCCCCGGGGCCTGATGCTGGCCTGGGGCCTTGCAGGGGTCAGGATCCCGGGAAGCCCATTCCTCCCTGGCTAGGACACCATGTGAACCCCGCATGACTACCACAACCAATCCACCCCATAAACAGACACCTGTGAAGACTGATGACTCACACATTCCAGAGAGAATACACTTCATGTTAAATTCCACAAACTATCAAGACAGGCAGATGTAGTTACAAAATGTCCAGAAAACCTTTCCAACCAACAGAAGCTGGAGAAATTCTCTGTCTCTCTCATCATTCTGCCTCTGTCTGCCCGTCTCTCTCTCACACACATACAGATGCACCTTTAATTCTGACCATACAATATACTCAAAAGAGGGTCGGAGTGTAAGTCAGATTGAGCAGAGCCAGATTCCTGCCTCCTTCTCCTAGTATTTATGCACCTGGAGTCCAGCCACTCAAGCCCTCCCAACTCCATGTGCCCACACCTGGCATGGGGGTCAGTGAGGACAGTATCACCTTCCTCAGAGTGAAAGAGGCAGTGGGTAAGCACGTGGCACTAAGTCAATCTTTGGATCCGTTTTCTTGCTAAGCTGCCGGAAACTTTTACCAGAACCACTGCGCAGTGACTTTAGGGAGGGCACACACAGGCCGCTGCAGCGGGGCAGGCTCTTCTGGAAGCAGCGGCTCTGCACTGGGCTCGGCGGTGTGGCTGAGCTCCCTACAGCTGTTTCAGACCGAGAAGACTGTGGATGATAAAAGATGTGCCAAGAAAGTGCACAGTGAGGAATCAGAAAACTGCTGAGGCCGGTGCCGTGCACAATGAGGCGGGCCCGAGGGGAAGGAGTCCCTCCAGGACCACGGCAATCCTCACTCCCCCTGGGGAGCCATCGCCATCAACGCCTGGGTGCTGGATCTCACAGACCTCCGCATCGCCCCAGTGTGGAAGAAACCGCTCGTGTGCCAGCTGCAGCAGGGGAGCTGGACACGGCAAGGCGTGAGCGGGATGCACAGAGGGGCATCTGCCTGTGAGCGTGAAGCAAGCTCGGGTGTGGCTGTAGCCCCAGCAAGCTTTCAGACACTGCCATTTTGGCAGCATTCATGAAAGCGCTTTGTTTACTCATTTTTGGAGTACAAACTTTTTCCTCCAAGAAACAAGTGCAGGTAACATAAGGACACTCAGGGTCCACCAGGGAAAGCCATATGGAGCAGCACGGCCTGCTCCACTCGGATGTCTGGGTGCACTGTGTGGGGGCGGCGTTACCAGTGTTTCCAGACCTCACTACGTTTATTTAGAAAGCTTAACTGGAGCTGCACCTTTATTGTGTGCAATCCATGCTGTATCTGGGGATCATCCAGGTCAGGGTCTTCCATTTATTGCTTCTGTTTTCCTTTAAAGCTTGACCAGTGAAAGCTCTGAATGAATTGATCCAACAGGGATCCAACCGGGTACCCAATACTTCTGAAGATCTATTTGCAATGACATACAGTATACAGTACACACGACAATAAAACAAATAGTTCATACAAAGCCGTTAACTTCCTCTCTATCTACACAATTTTAATTAGAAATGCTTAATTAGTCCTGGCTAAAACGTTTCATGCTGACTGCACATGTGTGTCCGAGCTTTGTATCCACCAGGACACAAATGCCCTTAAGCGCAATGCGTAGCAGCTCTGAGTCGGGGGGGGGGGGGGGCTCATGGACACATCCTTGTCAAAAGGATCTTTCATCACAAAATTTATCGGAAAACAAAGTCCTCTCAGGGTTTATTAGTTATTAAGCTTTGCTATTTTGATTGTTATAATAAATGAGATCGCTTTTTAATATATTCACTGCATTTTTATATTACGACATACTTTATGGCAGGCAATAAATGTGTTTGATGTGCTTGATGCTGCTTTACCACTGGGCTTCCTTAACTTTCATTATCATGAGCATTTCTGTATGACATGAATTAAAATGACATGCAAATGTGCAAGCTCATTTCACTGAAGCAAAATTGCTAAACTGCCGAATTCATCGTCTTTTATTCTTAGGGAGCAAACATTGTTTTCAAATAAATCTGATAGAACTCAACCAATTGTTTTAAGTAGTTCTCTTTTATTTCTGCTATTCCACTATGATTTATGTGTAGAAAATATGCAAATCCAATAGTTTCTTACCTAAAATAAATGACAAGCCCAGTCTCCTAGGCTGTGTATATGAGGCACTGCCCCATGCGCCCAGCTTTAGAAATGCGACTACCACAGGAGGCCACATCCTTCCTTGCTTACCAAACACTTGTCAACAAATCCTTAAGTGTGAGTATTACTGCATGTCTGCATTTCAAACTGAATGTGATAATAACGACAAAAAGTTAGATTGCACGTTTTGTGACCGCACACCGGTGCTCTGTCCCTTTTCTCTACGCTGCGGACATGCACTGCCGTTTAAGCAACACAGCATCCATCTGGCACTGGTAGGCAGCAGCTCGTTAGCGTTTTTTAGAAACTCGATATGTCCCCCAGACAGACATGCAAGACTGAAACTATCAAACAGCTAAAAGAAAACACAGGGAAAATACTTCAAGACACTAGTGTCAGGGATAATTTTGGGGGCTAAGGTCCTGAGAACAGAGGTCACAGAACGTAAAGTAGATAAACAGGATCCCATCAAACCCAGAAGCTTCTGCACAGCAAAGGCAACAGCCAAGAGAGGGAGGAGACGTCCAGAGAACTGGGAGCTGCCGGCAAGCCACCTACCCGACAGAGGGTCTGTGCCCAGGACCTAGGAGGGATTGAGACAACTCAACACGCCAAAAACAGCCAAGAAATGCACATGGGCCCTGAACAGTTCTCAAAAGAATAAACACAAGCGGCCAGCACACGCATGAAAACATCCTCAACAGCACAGCCAGCAAGGAAATGCAAATCAGGACGACATGCAGGAGGACCCCCCCACAGACAGAAAAGCTGTTATAGAAAAGACGGAGAGTAACAGAGAGTAACAGAGTAACAAACACTGGCAAGGATGCACGCAAAGAGGAGCCTTTACCACTGTTGTGGGGGACACATCGGCACGGCCCCGTGCTCTACCACGGTGGTGGGGGACACATCAGCACAGCCCCGTGCTCTACCACGGTGGTGGGGTACTCATCAGCACGGCCACAGCGGGAAAGCATGTAGAGACTTCTTGTCAAGATAAAACCAGCACTGCCATACAATCAAGCAATCCCAGTGCCAGACACATACCCACAACATAATAAATCATTTATCAAAGAGATGGCTGCTCCACTGTGTTTACTGCAGCATTGTTAACAATAGTCAGGATGTGGAACCAACCGAGGTACCCATTAGCAGGTGGAATAAAGAAAATATGGGATATACACAAAGTGGAATACTACTCACCTATAAAAAGAATCAAATACTCTCATTAGAAGCAAAACTGGACAGAACTGGAGGACAAAAATTAGTCCCTGAAAGTGTGTGTATGATTTTCCAAGTTGATGGAAAACAGTGCACACTACTGACTCATTCAACTTCAGGCAGGATAAATCCACAGAGATTCAAACACAACCACCCCATGACCAAACTGCTAAAAAGCACAGAGAACAAGAGACTTTGAAAGAAGCCATGGAGCAGCACTCGTCCACGTGCCAATTCTCGGTATGATCAATAGCTGATTTCTCCTCAAGAAGCCACGACAGCAAAAGGAATGGGATGACACAGTTTAGTCCTGAAGGAAAAAAACATAAAAAATAATTTGATACTTGTCCAAACTGCCCCTCAAACATGGTGGAGAAAGTTAGGCATGCCCAGGTTTGCACAAAGACACAATTTATTGATGGAAGATCTCTACAACAAACAGGAACAAGATACTTTGAAGCAAGATGAAAAGAAGTTTGTATTTTGAACCCCTCCCCCAAATTGAGAGCACCAGTGAAGCTAGCTAGCTAGCTAAATTCAGAAACAGCATAACTGAACTGTTTGAATCTCTGTGTCCTGATTATTTGGACGATGACTTCACAAAACTATACACACGCACACACACACACACACACCACAACTGTGTTGCTGATCTCACAGTGTATCAAATGCAATTTTTATGACAAATAGGACGAAGAAGGGGGGAAAGAATGAAGGTGCTTAAGAATAAAGTTTTTTTTTTAAGATTTATTTATTTTAAAGGCAGAATTACAAAGAGAAAAGGAGACAGAGCTTTTCCATCCCTGACTCACTCCCCAAATGGCCACAACGGCTGCAGCTGGCCAGGCCAAAGCCAGGAGCCGGGAGCCGGGAGCCCCATCCCAGTCTCCAACACGGGTCACAGGGGCCCAAGTACTCAGGCATCGTCTGCTGCTTCCCACGTATATTAGCAGGGAGCTGGATTAGAAACGGAGTCCAGACTTGAAACGGAGCTCAAACGGGATGGCAGTGTCACAGGAGATAGTTTGACCCACTGTGCCACAACCCGGACCCCAAGAATCAAGTCCTATATATTATTTCAGCCAAGTTGGTACTAATCAAAACAAGATTTCTATAAATTGAAGGGTGCAATTAAGTAACAAATTAATATAGTAAAAGAACTTCCACTTTGACTATGACCCTGTCTAAATAAGATCAGAGTCGGTGAACTCAAAAGGCTTCCATAGCCTTGGCAACTCATGACAAGAGCCTAGGGAGATTACTGACACCATAAACAAGAGTGTCAAATTGTTAAGTCAACAACAGGAGTCACTGTGCACTTGCTCCTCATGTGGGATCTCTGTCATAAATGTGTTGTCCTATGTGAATTAATGCTATAACTAGTATTCAAACAGTATTTTACACTTCATGTTCTGTGTGGGTGCAAACTGTTGAAATCTTTACTTAATATATACTAAATCGATCTTCTGTATATAAAGATAATTGAAAATGAATCTTGATATGAATGGAATGCGAGAGGGAGCGGGAGATGGGAGGGTTGTGGGTGGGAGGGAAGTTATGGGGCGGGGGGAAGCCAGTGTAACCCATAAACTGTACTTTGGAAATTTATATTTATTAAATAAAAGTAAAAAAAAAATACCTAGAATCAGAATGCCATCACTCAATAAATGACTCTCAAGTCACTCTGGAAAAAAAGAAGAAATGTCATACATGAGAAAGTCATACAGAAGATAAATAGCTGAGTAGCACATGTGAAATCCTCGCTGTTCAGTAATTATATTAAATGTAAATGAAAAACACTCCAGTACCAATTCAGGGTGGCAATGAAAAAAATAGCCATCTCCATACTGTCTACGGAATTGATATTTGAGATTTAAAAATACAAATAACTTGGAAGTAGAAAGATGAGAAAAAGATACGTCAAAGAAACAGAACCCCCAAACAGCAGAGTAGCTACAATCCATTCAGACAAAAATATTTACTTAATGATACATCTATGATTTGATAACAAAAACAGTGACAAACTCAATGACGAGGGAGCCAAGATGGCAGAATAGCGAGGGCGTGCACTGATAGTCGGGAAAAGACAGTTCAATACAAGCGGAGATACTGTAGATTCAGGGAGAGGTTCTGGAAAAAAAAAAAAAAAAAAAAAAAAAAAAACAACTGCAGAGGAAACTCTTCCGGAACTGGTGGGACACACTGGACCTACGTGGAGGGCAGGGGTGCCCACGGCTCAGGAGCCCAGCCCGTGAGTCGCCTTCACGCCTTGTCAGACTCAGGCTCACAGCTGTCTTAGGGCTGTCAAAGTGAGCAAAAAAAAAAAAAAAATACTACACACCCGTGAAGGCATGCTTGTGTGCTTGTGCAGTGTGCAGCATATACAAGTATGCGGCATCATTACACGCAATGTTACAGAGCTGGCAACTAGGACAGACTGAATACATATGCAAATTAGTACTTACAAATCTAATGTTACATAATTTGTTGTTTTTACTTCACAGTAACAGAAATCAAGTCCTAGAAACACTTTATAAGAGCTGTGCAAAGCCACTCATCTCCCACACGGCCAGGTCTGACCTTAACCAGGAACGCCAGAGCAGCCCCTCCCCAGGAGGTGGTAGTGGCTACACAGAACCTCTAGCCACTTACCAACCAGATCCCCCAAAACCTAAGGTTTCTAGGGAATAATACAAATACTGGATATGAAGCAGTGCACACACCTCTCTTCTTTTCATTCAATCTGTGTGAAGAAATCCACATGAGTGTGTGTGTACGCGCGTGTTTACATGAACGGCACCCACGTCTCACCCCCAAAGCACCCCCAGTGTGCGATGCAACAGCTCCTGCCAAGTCTTCATCTGGCTGGGGAAAGGAATACGTCCTACCACGGCTGGTTTACGCCGTGACCTCTGAAATACGGCACTGTACTCATAAAACACACAGACGCTTGCTGCTAATGCAAAACTAAGCAACTAATAAAAAGAAATACCAACCAGGCAAAGATGTGAGTTAACCACTGGTCCTGACGCTGGTCTGGCCCTGCTTCTTGCTCAGTGTGCAGACTGCAAACTAAGATGAGAATTCTCTGCTGGTCGTGGACTTGGCTGTTCTGATAACTAAGGATGGGCAAGGGAGCCTTGGCGAGGATTCCTGTCTGTCTTTCTTTTTAAATCAATAATGGCCATTTGGGGGAAGGGAAATAAATGGAGGGCCTTGAATACAAAAGGTTCAAGTTACTCTTCCATACAC